GGAAGCCAGGGGGCCAGGAGCAGTTATCTTCCATTAGAGAAGCCCTTGGGCGCTTCCTAAGAAAGCAACAGGAGAGACGGTGGTTTTCAGTCATTGCCTGCAATACTCGTGGGCTCACACGTGCCGTGTTTCATACGCGTGTGTTACAGAGCCCCCTTTTTCTTAATAGAGATACTGGGGATTGAACCCAGGACCTCATGTATGCTAAGCACATGCTCTACCAACTGAGCTACACCCCCCTCAACATAGCCACTTTCTATTCATGCATCTTCTCAATTTAATATTGAAGTATAAGTGCTCGTCTTGTTTTTTATTTATTTCTGGAAGTGTTGGTGAGGGATAGGAAAGGGGAAAGCCCAGCCCTAGTTCCTGAAATCTGTTCCTTGAGAACAGTCAACACAGAGAGGCTGCCTTCTTCTGTGTGATCTTGGGAACAGCACTTTACCTCTGTGGGCCTGAGCTGCCTCAGGCAAATTGAAAGCCTTCGACTAAATCATCTCTCAGTGAGATTGCCTGCAGCCACCATCAATTCCAGTTCCTTTGTCTGAATTAACTATTTAGAGAAGACAGTGGCATTGGGCAAAAGGAGATGTAAATACCAGCTATGTGAAGGGGGGCTCAACAGGCCAGCCTTCAAGATCATCACCAGCACTTGTTGAATATATACAAGTACCAGGCACTGTGCTGGGTGCTTAGCATTAAATTGCCCATTTAATCCTCACCCCAAAAATATAAGATCTAGGTATACCTTGGAGATATCACAGCTTTAGTTCCAGACCACTGCAATCAAGCAAGTATCACAGTAAAGCGAGTCACATGAGCTTTTGGATTTCCCAGTACAGGTGAAAGTTATGTTTTCACTGTACTGTAGTCTATGAAGTATTCGATAGCATTATGTCTTTTAAGAATGTACATACCTTAGCTAAAAAATACTTTATTGCTAAAAAATGCTAACCATCATCTGAGCCTTCAGAGAGTCGCATAGCAGTAACTGATCACGGATCACCATAACAAATATAATAATCATGAAAAAGTTGGTGAGAATTAGCGAAAAGTGACGCAGAGACACGAAGTGAGCAAATGCTACTGGAAAAATGGCGCCAGTAGACTTGTTTGATGCGGGGTTGCCACAGATCTTCGATTTGTTAAAAAAAAAAAAAAAAACTCAGTTACCTGTGAAGCACAGTGTGGCAAAGTGCAAGAAAATGAGGTCTGCCTGCACTCATGACTGTAATGAGAAGTGGTGGTTCTCAAAGGGTAGCCTCCAGACCTGCAGTGTTGACGTCAACCAGGAACATGTGAGAAATGCAGTTTCTCAGGTCCATCGCAGACCAGCTGAGTCAGGCTCTGAGGGTGAGGCCCAGCCATCCATTCTTAATAAGTCCTCCAGGCTGTTCTCAGAACCCCTGAGGTGTAGGAGCATATATATCTTAGTGTCTACCACCTTATTCCTCTTGCAAAAAAGACTGTCTAAATTTGAAAAAAAAAAGACATAAAGAAGTTCTTAGGGGGAGGCCATAGCTCAGTGGTAGAGCGCATGCTTACCGTGCATGTGGTCCAATCCCCAGTACCTCCATTAAAAAATAAATAAATAAAAACCCAGTGACCTTCCCCTACCAAAGAAAAAGAAAAAAAAGTTTAAGAAGTTCTTGGAGTAAAAGATGGGACCTCCCCACCAAGTGCCTTTCTGTTGGCTGCCAAGCCATCCTAGGGAGAAAACGGGGAAGAATTTGAAGTTTCCAGGGCAGTCAAGGCAGGAAGGGGTGGGAGGAGAGAGAGGCTGGAGCTAAGAGGAGAGGCACCAGGCAGATAGTGAGAGGCTGTGCTCTGTGCAGCGCGGTCCCCACCACAGTCCCGGGAGCTCTTCAGCAAAGTCCGCTAAGTGCAAATGCTTGGTGTGAACGGTGTTTTTACATTATGAAGGAGGGACAGGGTCTCACATTCAAGTGATGCAATAAAGGAGAGACACAATGTTCAAAGCCACAGAAGACCAGGGTTCCAGCCAGCATGCCAGACCTTGGGGACGTTTCCCAGGTGTGGAAGTGGTGGGGGAGAGAGGCAGCCTCAGGGCAAGAGGGTGCACAGTTTCCAAATCCAGGTCTCTCTCCATCCAGAGCCTTTCCCCTGGACCCCAACCCCTCTGAGGCCAAAGCAAACTACTGGGAAAATAAGTTTATTAGGAAAAGGGAAGGGAGAGATGGAATAGTGATGCAAAGAAGTGGGAAGAAACAAAGAGGAAATACTGCTGAGAGTCTGGGGCTGAATAGGTCCAGAATGAAGGACCTGTTTAAATCAGGGCAGGTAGCATGCCTGTCGGGGCCTGGCCCAAGGCTGTCTCTTTCCTCCATTCTTTACAAAAACAGAATGACCTCAGAGAAAAGACTTACAAAATCTGAATGTAGGTACTTCTACTGTCCAAAAAAGGCATTTTGCCAACCTGCCTACACATAGCACTTTCCACCAGCATTTTAGAGTCTCATCTCAAAATGCAAACAGAAGGATCGCCAGACATTTGAGAGATGTTTCCAACATTAAAAAGCAGAGACAAGACCAAACAAGCAAAGAAGCAAAACAGTGAAGAGGAAATTGGAAGAAAAAAATTCAGAATCTAAACCTATTAAGAAAACATATGTATATATTATTAATAACCTCAGAGTTAAGTATCGCAGTTGCAACCTTGAAACAAGAGCTGGATGTTAGAAAAGAGGAACAGAGAACAAAACGAGAGCTCTTTGAAATTAAAAATATAACTGAAATTAAATTTCAGTTCAGGAGGCAGGTGTGTAGCTGAGTAGTAGAGCGCGTGCTTAGCAGGCACAGGGTCCTGGGTTCAATCCCCAGTACCTCCATTAAAACAAACAAAAAAATTTAAGAACACCTTATTTTAAAAAGGAAAAATTTTTCATTTCAGTTCAGATGTTTTAAATTAATGGAGAGGGAAAAAAAAAGCCAGAACTAAGGGATAATCAAAAGTACAGTATAGGGGTCAGATGGCACCAAGGGCTACATCAGAGCTGCCTGGAGCCCCCTGAAATCCCAGCTGCCTTGACAAAAGGCCCTCCACTTAGTGAAGGAACTTAACCCTGTCCACACGTAGAAATCACCTGGAGAGCTTGTAAAACCCCAACACCAGTTCATATTCCAGACCAATTAAATCAGGATTTCTGGAGATCTGACCAGGCATTCATATTTTTTTTCAAAGCTCTGCAGGTCATTCCAATGTGCAGCCATGGTTGAGAACCTCAGGCCAAATTGAAAGTACATTATAACTGAAAAACACAAGCAGATGAAGGAAATAATAATTGGGGGCAGGGCCTCACAGGACCTGGTGAGCTCTTTCGTGGAGGGAGAATAGGTTTGGAAGGGGCTTGCCGTAAAGAAGAGTGTGGCTTTGTCAAAGAGATAACTGGGACCCATGTGCTCAAGAGCGCCAGGTGCTGCTGGCTGGCTGCAGCTTCCCCTGCTGGCTTTGCTCAGAGTCAGAATTCGCTAGTCCTGTAAATGCATAGCCTCTGTGGCTGCCTGGTTGACCCCAGGCATTATGGCTTGGAGGAAGACCTAAGAAATGCAGCCCAAGGCACGGAAAACGTGGGTGACCACCCTTAGACCAATCCCAGCATCCAGCTGGAAATGGAGTTGATGATGTTGACCAATTTTCAGACTCTCAGCTTGGACTCATCAAAGCATGAGGGAGCTTACAAGACAGTAAGTGTCACGTTCTCTATTTCACTGATGAGGAAACCGAGGCTCTGGCAGGGACTACCACCTGTTAAAGCCCCCATAGGCAGTAAGTGATGGGGCTGAGATTTGAACCCAGGTTAGGCTGACCACGTTTGGAGCCCATGTCCATCATACTAAAGCCATGGCCCCCTTTAGCTGGCCTCCTTCCACCACTGCGGCAGGATGGAAAAGAAGCAGTAAGTGGGTGTCCTTCCCGTCCCAGCCTAAGGCCTCCC